CTACTGTGTAGCAATAGGGGGCCAAATTAACCCAGCTTGGCTCTAACACTGGCCCCGGCCACCGCTGCTGGCCTTTCCCTTGGTGGCAGTTCTCCGTGCCACCCTGGCACTGCTATCCCATGTGTTGTAGTTTGTTGACCCACGGTCTACACCATGGCAGCAGCTGTCCCAGGCAAAATGGGCCCAAGCACCCCCCTGCCCCATCCACCTCCATCTGGATGTGGCTCGTGAGGCCACTCCAACCCCATCCGTAGGGCCACACCCAAGCACACGCAGTGCGGCTGCGGGGTTTGGTGAATACCTGCAGAGCAGTTGGAGGGAACATCTGGTGCCAGGCCTTGCATCACAGACTGGCTGGAGCAAGGTTAAGATGACAGGGAGGCTGGCTCTGGCGGAGACCAGAAGTGATGCCAGAGATCGAACGAGCCGGGTCACACGAGGTTGCCCGTAAGCCTCTGCCAACCACTGGTGACACCTCGCTTGACTCTCAGCAATAGCCCAGTCTGACCCTGAGAGCTCTGCCAAATACCTGGGTCTGAGGCTTATCCACACTCAGCCACCTCCTTGCTACCCCTTCTTGCAGTATGTTCAGCACCCCCCGGAGCTGCAGGCTGCAAGCACAATAAGTCTTCCAGCACCAATCCCACAATTCCTTGTTGCTGACTCCCAGCCTTTCTACAACCCATTTTCTGTCTCTGCCTGTGGGTAGAAAAAAGCCCCAAAAGACAGACAAATATAAGGTAGACTGATTCCTAGAAGGGCTTTGCAAAGGAGCCTGGGACGCACCTTAGTGTCCTGCTCAAGAAAAGGGCAGCGGATGACTTTTGGGTCAGCTTCAAAGGGAAGACAGAGAAAGGGACGGGTGGCTCACGCGGCTAGGGCTTTTTAAGTGACCTCAGGATCAATCCTAAAAATCCTGCTTTCACCACTGCCTCCAACCCTCTCCAATCATGGGCTGGTGCTAAAAGTGTCCATCTCCCACTGACAGCCATTGAGGGATGGGCTTCAAACTCTTTTGAAAATCCCAGCCATAATTCACAGGGTTTAGAAGATGGCCTTGCATTAAGGCCAAATCCAAGAGAAGGAATGACAGGACATGTGCATCCTTAGCCCCCTGCGCCTACTGACACCTTTACCAGCCACTAGTGCATCTGGTGGCTCTCGAGACTTCCTATAGTTCCCTTTTTTATTAATTTCCCTAGAAAGAAAAATGCAGCTAATGTGAAAACAAACAATTCCCTCGCACCTCTACACTGAAGCAATTTTAGAAGGAGGCATAGGCATGCCCTCAAAAGTAAGGCAGGGGAGTCTCCTTCTCTGGACTGCACTTGAGATTCCCCTGAGGTCTTGCAAATAAAAAAGAAAAGAAAAGGACCCCAATAACCACATGGCTGCAGCAGAAAGCTTTGCTCTCTGGGAAGGTGCGGACAAATCTGCTGCATGATCATGGATGGGTAAGAACTCAGCTCTCAGGGACACTGGGACCAGCCCAGTCCCAGAGCGCTGGCGGGGAGGAGAGCAAGAGTTCCCCGAAGAGGCTGGGGACTTGGGCCTTACAGTCTGGACAGCCAACCTGAGATGCCTTAAAGGGCCTGACTTCCAGAGTGGGTGCTCAGCCTCACTGCCTGCTGAATGCAAGACCCCTCCACGGGACCTCAAGTTACCCACTCAGGAATTGAAGCATCCATCCAGCTATTAATAGCCTCTACTGCCCTGTGCTCATCTTCCGAGCCATGAATCTGCAAATTCAAGTCCCTGAATTTGTGCATCTCTCATGGTGACCCATGGCCATTTCTTCATCAACAGAACAGCAGGTTTTCCAACATGGAAAAGGAGACAACAAATGCTGCCACAAGCGTGTGGAGTCTGAAGGCTTCCCCCCTCCCACGGGATTGAAAGCACATTGCACCATTAAGCTTTGCGGACCCCTTAGCAGATTGAATCGACAAGTCCCCAGCAACGCTTGAGGGGGAAGTGAGGGGAATGTTCCTGCTCACTGGAATGCCACGTGCTTTTGCAGTCCAAAGGGGACCGGTTTTGTTCCTGACAGCTGAGGAACCACAGGAATCTCAGCTCATTAAATACTCTCCTCAAATAGAGTTACCGTGCTCTGAAGTCTTCACAGCAGTCATGACACTGCATGTTTCACCAGGCAAGCAGCCCAAGCAACGCGCAAAGGACACAGCTTCCAAGCCGTGCTGATACAGAAGAAGAGAGATACAAGGGAAGGGAATTTGGGCCATAAAACGGGTAAGAAGAAAAATAGGCAAATTCACATGTCCTGGATGCCAGCATATTGAAATGCTTAGCAGCAGGTTCAGTTGGCTGCACCAATACCTAGTGTTAGAAAGCTTAACACTTCTCCAACCTGAACACATACGTATTCATCGCAGACGCTGTGAAACTTGATTTTCCAGTCTTTGCTGGTTAAGGATGCCAAGAGAAAAAAAAGCAAGAAAGTAGGTCTGCTAAATAATGTGACTGGGGATTACACTTTATGGTGAGTTCTCTCTGACACACTCAGGCACAGGGTATTATTTATATCATCAGTGAGCTCATAGTGTGCAGTCACAAGATGATCAGGAAGGATGCATAGGCCAGCTCCAGCATTTACCATGGAAACATATGTTAGAGTAATCATAATAGTTCCTTTCATAATCCTAAAGTGCTCAGTGCTGAACTGCAGGCTGCCTACATACCACCTCCCAGACGTTTCTGCTTCACTCTGGGTCCAATGCAGTCAGTATCTAAATGGGTACAAGTGACGCAAGACCAGGGTCCTAAAGAGGAAAAATGACTTAAGCTTTGTTGATAAGATGATTCTGTTGCATTCAATACTTACATTTTCAATGAAGAGCCAGCACAACCAAAGCTTCCAAATTAGATTTGGACATTCAAATATAAATAAATGAATTGTCATTAAATGCTGCCAATATATCTAAAATACCCAGGCATTTTGTGGGGCTCCAAGTCCTTCATATGCTTGCATTTCAACCTAGCCTGATTTTTTTGCATTTTAAAAAACTTGCAACAAAGCAAAGTCATTAGTATCGTTCCTCTGCACTGGTACCCACACCCATAAATCCCAGTGTAAAACAGTGCAGGGCTGTGCAAGTATCCTGCTTTATCAATCACTTTCCAGGAAATATTATGATGTTGTAATCGATTTACATGAAGGGCATGTACAAATGTTCAATCTCCGTTCATTAAGTCTCTCCTTTGTTTCAACAGGATACCTAAGAAATACAGAATGCAAATATTGATTGAAACGTTAGCATGCACTGCTAGCTGTATAACTTACACCGGGTGCCCTTACAAAGTTACTGTAACATTTGCAAAAATTCTCCATATGACCTAAAGGAAATAACACAAGTAAAGCAAAGCACTAAATTACAGGCTTTTAAGGATGCCTACTGCAAATAAATGAAGCAATTACAGAGTTATTAAATAATTTTCCTGTTGATTGAGGACTCAATCATGTTTTCAATTAAAATCAGTGGGAGCAAGGTCCAACCTTTCATGACAAATGGTCTGTTTCCACAACTCCTCCATGCCCAAAATAAGAACTCCTCACTCCAAACCCGAAAGCACCCTAATCTGCATGCCACAGAAACAGTGAAAAGTTACTTAAAGACAGAACCCAAATGAGAGGATACCCTTTGAAATGAGCCCTGGTGGCTTCTTTAAAGCCACGATCCTGCTGTGTTAATATTTTCGTAGTCACACACTGTTTTGAACACCCTGTTAGCTCAAGGACCTTGCACGTAAAGTGATCGCAGCCCACTTGATCCAAATGCCATTCGTTAGCCTATGGAAAAGAACTCGCTTTTCAGTCTTAGCAGCAAGTAATTGTCACCTTTAATTCCCCCTGTATTCTACCTAGGAAGAATCACGCCATGCAATCAAATCCAGTGCTATGTACGTTTCAGATCTTTATCACAACTGATTTTCCCCACCAAAGCCATATTCCAATACATCTGGCCATACCCCTGGCATTTGCAAGTCACTGAAGCTACAGCTACTGAGACAGAAAAGGACATGGCAGATCCTGTGGCTGGTTCTCACTGCCAGAGAGTTACCTGGGATGCTTTAGACAGCATTCACATGGAGACTGAGCTACATTTGTAGGGCATCATTCTCTTCTCTTTGCTTTAGGTAACTGGAAGTTAAAGGCTATGTTAACCACAGGAGCAGAGGATAAATAATACAGGCAAGGATCAGAAGCAGGACATGCCAAAGCCATTTACATTACTGTCACTGGGAGACAAGCCTGGTGTTGCTCAAAAAGCATAAGTGAGAGGGAGCCACCTGCCAAGGCAGACTTTGATCTGAATCCAAATGTAATATGCCTGCCATTCCTGAAGCATTAGCAATGTGTCTCGTACAGATGGTTACAACCTTGGCATCTACATCCCACCAAACTAGTTTTCCTTTCACTTTACCTTCCAATGAGTGGAGAGAGCTCTGGAAAAGAAATTGAGCCATATTTCTCCGAAGAGCCTTAGTACAGGTTTTAGAAGGTGACCAACCCCTGATCTAAAGGAAAACATGGGCAGGCAGACAGACAATGAAAGCAGTGAAACAAACTTCTCTGTGAACAACCCACACCAGTACCAGGAGAGACACTACATTGTAACCCCCGTGTTAGCAAAACATGAAGCAAATAAACCTACTCAGCTTTTGAACATAACCAGGAACTTAGGCTGAAATTATTTAATATATGTTGTTTTTAGTAATGTGTAGTTCTAAAGTGATACTTTTCTAATGAGATTCCCAATGGGGACAGCCCCTTTTTAACTCCAGCCCACCAAAAAAATGCCCCAAAGCAACATAAATGGAAGAAATTAATAAAGTCTAAACAACCTAAACCCACCAATTCACATAGACCATTGATTCCGGAAAGGGAAAAGAGGTATAGACTCTGACATGCACAAGGGGCTTCACTATTGCTACTCTGGAAGGTGATCAGGCACTAGGCTGAGAGGCTGCAGTATAAAAGCTTGAGGCAGAAAGATGTTTATTAAAAACAAGCCAAACTGCTGATGGCACGAGTCATTTCTTGACCTAGTACAGGAAGATGTGGGCATGTACAAAAATGGAAGGAAATAGAAGAAAATAAAACCAGTGTAGATAGGACTACAGCCATGTGCAGTATGTGCAGTACCAGGAAGATGCCATGTAAGCTGGCGCTTGCTGGAGGCGGGAAGGGAGCAGACAGCTGCATATTCTTGCATCAGTGCACCTGTCAGTCATGACATAGCCTAACGCCTGGTGCTGCATTTCCAGTCCCAGAGACGCATTGCAGCAGTTCATGGTTTGCATTTTTGGTAAGTCCAATCCTATGCGAGGCTGCATACCTTCAGCGTCAAATGAAGTCACTGAGAACTGGGCATCAACCGCCTCTGATAATCAATCCAAACAAAGTTCAGATTTGGCAGAGCACTTCACCATGTCCTGGGTGTTTTGCTCACTTAGGGACGTACATTGAACTGCTTTGCTAAATTGGGACCCATGCGCAAAACATCTCATCCTGAGATATTTATTGTTGAATTGATCAAACAGGATTCCAAAAGCAAAAAGTGAACAACCAAACCCAGTCCCAATCTCCTTCTCTATAGTTTTCCTTCCATCCTCTGCCATCTGTGTGCTCCTGGATCAAAGTCTTTAAAGTGATCTTGGTAAGCAGACATATTCTTGCATCTTTCGCAAGCCATGCTGCATTTTAAGCCTTGCGTTCCTCAAATGCCAATACTGAGATGGCACAAAATCCTCCACATCACCTGCTGCATAAAACAAGAGTGTTTAAGTGAAAAAGCTAATGATTCTCAATGACAGCACCAAACAGGTGATAAATGGGAAGCAAGTAAAAGCAAGCGTCTTATTTGCATAATTAAATTTTGCCATAGCCATTTAGCATCAAAATGAGAAGTTAAAAAGAAAAACATGTCCTGTAAAAAAATAGATGCTGCTGTAATAGGATTGGCTCGATTTTAGCTGCTTCACTGCCAAACTCCTTCATGATGTGGGTGTTCAAGCACTGAACACAAGAACCAAAGTACTTGAGTTACCACCTCACCTGTATCATTAGTAGGCTGGAGACTTGATTCGAGAGCAGTCTTACAATCAGGGAATTGGAAGAGACCTCAAAGGTCACCTGGGCAAACCCCCTGCATGTCTTTTAAAAACAGAACTGAAAAAACTTCAAGGAAGTTTGGAAGGATGCATCTGCATTAGTCTTGGGGAGGGGCAATAGATGCAGTCTAGCATGACCTTTTGCATGTATTAACTTTTTGACTAGAAAAGTTTTAATATAGCTAAGGTCTGGTGCTAATTTCATCTTAGAGTATTCAAATCATTGATGGACCCTTGTTGATAACACATTTCAGTTATAAATCTCTCTCAAAGATGCACTATGTATATTTTAAGCCTGTCTCAACCAAAGCTCAGACATTTGCGTTTGTGTACTAGTTCAGCTACTTATAGCACCAAAACCTGCACTGCTGCACGCTCAAAAGCATCAAGTGTGAGTGAGGAAATAAACCCAGAGGGGAACTGGTAGTTAAGTGAAAAGAGAACTAGTTCAGAATGAGTTTAAATCATCGACATTTACATTTAAGCATGCCCAAGTGCAGCCGGCTCTTAATGATCTGGGATCTGCAAGAACTTCTTATAAGATTTCAGTTCACCTAAACTTGAACCCAAATCAAAGAGTTTCTACTTTTAAAACACTTGTTGTGTGAAGTGTTACACAATGGAAGTAAAGCTGCGCCATCTACAGGGAGAGCAGCGCAGTACAGGAAGCCGTGGAGATAACCTCTGCCACAGTTCAAAGTGGTAGCCCACAGAGACTTACCTGAGCTACTGGTACTTCTGTACGTTAGGGTAGCAAAGGGTTCAGCAAAGCTCTCCTGGGACCTTAGATAAATCCACGTCTGTTGCAAGAAGGCAGCATACTGATACGAAGTACGTAACCAGGTACGATTTAGTGTTTGGGTGTGCATTAAATGAACAATATTATTGCTACTGTTTACACTCTGCACAAATCAAAGGAAACATTATTTTCAAGAATAGGCCCCGTGCGTACAATCTAGATCCAAAAGATGTCTATAGCTGATCTCCTGTTGTTTTCCACTGTCAAACTGCCCTGCCAGTCGATGCATTACATCTGGCTACGTTTAAAGTTTAGCCACCAACAATGGCTAGAGGCGGCACAGCCTTAGGCCAACTCAGTTACACAGCGATATGGTCAGTTACTATTTAGGTTATTGAGAAACAGCCCCCTAAACTTGAAATGCAACATACTGAGCCTAAAAAAACATAAAATGTGACAAATTATTGTGAATGCATGCTTAGACGAGGTTTGAATGATGGAGTTTCAAAGTAGAGGAGATCTTGGCTCCTTTCTGCTGTGCAGGACACTCAACCTCATGGTAGGCAACGGACAGAAAGGAGACTTGCCATGGTCTCACTTTATAAGCAGCCTACAGGAGCCTCCTGTCTTTCAGCCCAAAAGAAGATACTGCCCTTGGCTACTTAACACCTCTCTACTTAACACCCAGACAGAACAGATGGGCCTGTAGCTAGCATAACTTGTGTCCCCCAGCTCTGCTAATCTCTTCCACTTACCATTCTGCATTTGGAGAAGAAGCTAATTTACAAGCTTGCTTCAGATTTGGATGCTCTAGGCATTTTATTTTCTCACTGGGGGAAGAATCCATACATAGAGCCACTGTGGAAGCTGGCTGAGGGATACCTCCTTTTCTTCTTAGAGAAAATGCACTTTGTTTCATCAGGTTTAGCCAATGCTTTTGTTTAAAAAAGGTCCAGACCCAAGCTAGACAAAGCTCTAGCAGCCAGACTTATTTTTAAACAAAGGTGTTAGTTAAACCTGCTGAAAGTGAGTTTCAAGATGGATCAAGCAGAAACCAGTTTGCTTCCCCACAGCAGAACTCAAGTGTACAGGAGACACCCATGTCCCATGCCACAGTCACAGAAGCAATGCAACCCATCTAAGGTGGCTCAGGAGGAGGAAAGATGTTTTGCTGCCCTTTCTTGAAAAGTCTCTTTAAGCAGCCCCATTTTCCCATGTCTCTTTAGGTTTCATAGACGTTAGGGCTGGAAGGGACCTCAAAGATCATCAAGTCCAGCCCCCTGCCCCAGGGGCAGGAAGTCAGCTGGGGTCAAAGGACCCCAGCAAGATAAGCATCCAAGTATTTCTTGAATAGGTCCAGAGCAGGTGCCTGGAGGGAGTCTATTCCAGGTCTTGGGGGCTTGGACTGTAAAATTTTTTCTTATGTCCAGTCTGAAACAGTGTTGTAGGAGTTTAGGATCATTGGTCCTTGTTTTACCTTGGGGTGCTCTGGTGAACAGACATTCCCCCAGATCCCGATGCATACCCCTTACGTACTTGTAGGTAGTGACCAGGTCCCCCCAGAGCCTGCACTTCTCCAGACTGAAGAGTCCCATGGCTCTCAGCCTCTCAGGTAGCAGCAGATTGGGTGTATCTACATGACCCATTTACTGCAGAGTATACTAATTAGCTCCACAATAACCGTCTCAGTGCCTATTAGGTTGAAGTAAACTAATAAACTCTGTAGCAGGGTAGTACTTGTAAAAACAAGTACAATCCTGCTGTGGAGTTTTTTTACTCTGCAGCAGCGCATGTGTAGACAGAAAATGGCTGGCTGGGACATAAGAGTGGTCCAGTGTGGGGGCCTGAGTGGCAGCTAGCCCCATACTTGAGCACCCTTGCGCCCCAGCCAACCCCTCGCAGCTCGCTGAGCTGGGTTGGAGCAGCCCTGGGCTGTCAGGCTGACCCCCTGGGCCTCCTGCCAGCCAGGGTTGCTCTGACCCGACTCGATGTGCTGTGGTTGTGGGCACACATGTAGATGTGGCAACCAAGGAGCAATAAACACCGGTGGCATAAGCGCCAGAGTTTATTGTGTCCAGAGTTTATTGTGTACACGCAAGTGTAGATGCGCCCACTGACAGGCTAGTCCTTTATCGCAACCCAGTTTTTAAAGATCTGTCAAACAGCTAGCTGTGTTTTAACATCTCTCCCTGTTAGCAAGTGAAATCGCTTGTACTTTAACATTTAAAGAGTATGTGTGGGTGTAACAGAAATTTCTCACTCCCTGTAAAAGAGCAGTGTTCAGAGTTTCTTATTTTCTAACCAGGAAATCACAATTCAGAGGTTACAGGCACTGGAGGAAGAAAAGATGCTGAAAAGCAGTTAAATGGAGAGGGGGTTTATAGGAGCAGCACTATCTTTTCCTAATACTTTTTTTTTTTTTTTTT